AAAATGTTATAATAAGTAAAGGTTGCAAGATACAACTATTAGCAATGTAATGATTAAATATTGTTTTCGGTATAAACATACAAGTAAACCATTCATTGCTACAAGCAAATCATACGCATGAAATGTCACCAGCCAATTAAAAACTAGAAAACATAAGAAACTGAGGTGAAAGATCAAAATTGGAATATAATCAATTGCAATATATTAAGGTGTCAATAATGCCCAAGTATACAAATCGGAAATAGTCCCATATGTCGCAATATGTTTGCATTAACAATTGACTAACGCCACAAAAACGAAAAACCGAAAATTTCCATAACAATGCCATAAAATGCAAACAGAGTTATTCAGTACCCTACAGATTAAATATCCCTTTAGCCAAAAGCGTATAATACCAATAATTCCGCCAGTTTTAATTTATGCAAATCCTTATACTCTCTGTATCGTCGAAACTATGCCTTTAGCCTCTAACATTTAATACCAACGCAACGCCAGTTTCAGTTTATGCAAATCATCACATTCCCTGAATAGTCCAATACCGAATTTATCAACTGCCGGCTCAAAGATCGGAAAATGATAATGGAAGAGTGAGGAATATAAAAAATAAGGTGAAACGCATGTTTGAAACTTTGGTCGTTTAATTCCAACCAATTTGAAATAAAAAGCTTCCATTCGAGCTTTTTTGCCATTTCAAAAATTCTCTACTTCGCCTTTTACTTCACTATATCAATGGCATACGTCTTTTGGTTCAATTTTCTGCTGTGCATCGCTTCAGTTCAGAACAGTCCAGGTAAGAAATGTTCATTCTATGCCCAACAGAAGATCCTCAGTTAGGCCATACTTCGGTAAATACATTAAACGATTAAAAAGTTTATTAAGTTAACAAAATCATACGAGCAAAGAGTATTTTTTAGAAAACTTCAATATTCGCGGGAAAGTTGATTTAATATGCGCGGGAAAGTAGATCACAACAGTTGTTTTTCAGATGTGAGAAAGCATAAGTGTCCACATGTCAACTGTAATGTGACTATACGGGGCAAAACCAAACATTTCGAACATCTCCAAAAACACAATGAATCATCCCGTCATCATTGCAAGCAGCTCGGTAGTGGTGAAGAATTCCGTAGTCATTCATCAGAATTTTCTTCCCACAAAGAAGTGAATCAACCTAAATTTAAATGCGAAAAGTGTGATTTTTCCTCCAACTACAGCCATTCACTGACTAGACACAAGGAACGTTACTGCAAAGTTTCTCGTGAGTTTCGCAAATTCAGCAAAATTTTTATCATTTCTATGCAACTGAAATAAATACATCCGATATTCTTTCATTAAAGGCAACACTGAGAATGAACTTTTTGTTGTTAAAAAAAAAAGGGAAAAAACAGGATAAAAAAATGAATAACATCTCGTAATTTTAGTTAATCGAAATGTGTTTTGATAGGTTTAATAAATGATACTGCCATTTTTCAAATTATATTCATTAATTAGCATGTAAAATATTATATACTATATCAGTTATAATATATCAGTTTTCCAGGTGGGCAAATGAAGATTAAATGTCATTATTGTAATGTGACTGTGCAGACGAGAAAGGAATATTCAAAACATCTTGAAATGCACAAGGAATATAACTTCACTTGTCCCGAATGTGGCAAGAAATTCTATTCCCTAAAGAGATTTCGAGAGCATAAAGAAGTGCATCAACCTAAATCTCAATGTGAAACTTGCAACAGTTCCTTTTCTTACAAGACTGGACTACGACGACATCAGCGACAATTCCACAGTGGTAGCCGTTAGTTTCGCAAAGTTTATCTTTAGCAAAAGAAGTTTTCAATGTATTTGTTTACATGAAAATGTGTTGCAAAACATTTACGACAGTAGAGAGGCAATTCAAAATTAGTACTTACTGCAATATTCTTCTAATCTCAGCAGATAGCTGCTTGTCGTTTATCGGAGTTGTTGTTTGGCAGTTACTGATGTGATAATGGACGGAGTGAAAAAATACAAGCAATTAGCGTCTTTACAGGCCGATGAATTTAAATGATGTTGACAATAATTTCAATGTATTTACAACATTATTGTCAAATAATGTTATCACTGATGCATCAAAAAACTGAAAAATACTAATAGAGAAGAAAATATTCTATTGCATTCTCTTCTACGTTTTCAAAAAATTTTTAACACAAGGGAAGAGGTATGAAAAAAAGTACATCATTTGATCTACGAGAACCAAATGGCCACTAGCCACCCACTCCATTCGACTCAATGAGCTGTTATCTGAGAAATGCTCATTCTAATCCCAATAGAATGAGATTATAGCAGTAGATGAGGTAATACTCGTGGACACGAGAAAAAGCACTAAAACATTATATAATGACATGTTATTTCAGTTGGGCAGATGAAGATTAAATGTCGTTATTGTAATGCGACCGTGCAGACGAGGAAAGAATATTCAAAACATCTTGAAATGCACAAGAAATATGGCATCACTTGCCCCGAATGTGGCAAGACATTCTATTCTTCAAGGGGATTTCGACACCATGAAGATGCGCATCAACCTCAATCTCAATGTGAAATTTGTAACAATTCCTTTTCTTATACAACTACACTGCAGCAACACAAGCGACTAAAACACGGAATTACGGGTTAGTTTCGCATATATTTATCCGAAGTTTCCAACGTGTTTGTTCACATGAAAATGTGTTGCAAAACATTTAAGACAGTGAAGTGGCAATTCAAAAATTAAAAGTGGTAATTCTTACTGCAGTATTTTTCTAACCTGAATAGGTAACTGCTTGTCGTTTATCGCAGTTGGTGTTTGACAGTTACTGATGTGATAATGGACGGAGTGATAAAATCCAAGTAATTAGCGTCCTTATAGCCCGATGAATTTAAATGATGTTGACAATGGTGATATAATGTTATCACTGGTGCATCAAAAAACTGAAAAATGCTAAGAGAGAAGCGAATATTCTATTGCATTCTCTTCTACGTTTTCATCGGTTTTTTAACACAAGGGAAGAGGTATGAAAAAAAGTACATCATTTGATCCATGAAAACCAAATGGCCACTAACCACCCACTTCGTTTCACTCAATGAGCTGTTATCTGAAAAATGCTCATTCTAATCCCAATAAAATGTGATTCTTAAGTTGGAGCATACTTTGGATACACGAAACCATCAAGGCCAAAGTTTATCAGTGCATTAAAACTTAGATTCTGTCGCAAGTATATACAGAAAAAATGAATAGATTCATGTATTCTAAATTAATTGGAATGTGAGGTTTGTTTTATGGCACTGATACTTTCATGATCAGTTTTCAAATCGAATCAATTAATTACCAAATGAAGTGATAGGAAAAGTAATTGCAGATAGAAATGTCACAGCAGTTCATTTTTAGATATGAAAAAGTATGAGTGCCCACATATTAACTGCAATGCGACCATGCAGGGCAAAATCGAATATAACGAACATTTCCAAACGCACGATAAACCATTTCGCTATCAATGTAAACATACCGGTTGTGGAAAAGAATTCCACACTTCGTCATCACTTTCCATACACAAGAATTCCTGTAAACGCAAACCTCAAAGTAAAAACTTCTTCAGTATTAAGCAGTCACCGAGAGAAGACACGAAATATTCCCGCAGAGTTTCCCAGTTTTGCAAATTTAGCAGAGTTTTTACATTTTTATCCACCTGAAATGAATGCACGTGGAAATATGTCACGAAATATCTATGACCATGAAGCGGAACAAATTGTAAAGTGTTAATCTATGAAAAGTTCATTCCAGGTCCAACGGAAACAAATCCGCAGCTGGGACACACTTTGGCAAATACACGAAACAATTACGGTCAAAGTTCATTAGGTCAACCAAATTATTCGGGTAACCAAGTATTTCTCAGAAAACTTTAACTCCCACGCAACTAGGATTTAGCACTAATAAACTCAGACACAGGTATATGTAGCAGTAGATGGGGAATACTAATGGACAATTACCGGAAACAACTAGTATAAAGAAGTATATAATGACATATCGTTTTAATCCCTTCCAGTTTACTGCCTTGATTCAATTGCGTGAAACTAAAAATACAAGCAGTAATCGAAACTGTTCTCGCCCACACTAAGAAATCCACAACTATTCGTTGTGCGAGATTCCATCAGACCTTCCATCAAATGTAACAAAAAGACTTAGATTCTGTTGCAAATATGTACAAAATAAGTGAATAGTTTCGCTTATTCTAAATTAATTGGAGTGGGAAGTTCGTTTTATGGCCCTAAAATCATCATGACCAATTTTCAAACTGAGTCAATCAACTACCAAATAATTTGATAAGAAAGCTAATTGCAAACACAAATCTCACAGTAGTTGTTTTTCAGATGTGAAAAAGCATAAATGTTCAGATATAAGCTGTAATGCGACCATACGGGGTACAATCAAATGTTTAGAACATCTCCAAAAACATGATGAACATTGCAAGCAACCCGGTATTGGAGAAGAATCCCGCAGTCAATCACCATTATACAGGCACAAGAAATTCCGTCAATACAAACCTCAGAGTGAGAAGTTCCTCAGTTTTAGGCAGTCCTGAGAAGACACAAGAAATATTCCCGCAGAGCTTCTCAGTTTTGCAAATTAGCACAGTTTTTACATTTTTATCCACCGCAGAGCTTCTCAGCAGATGTGAAAAAGTATGACTGTCCACATGTTGACTGTAATGCGACCATGCAGGGCAAAAGCGAATATAGCAAGCATTTCCAAACGCACGATAAACCATTTCGCTATCAATGCAAACATCCCGATTGTGGGAAAGAATTCCACAATCCATCATCATTTTCCGAACAAAACCTCAGAGTGAGAAGTTCCTCAGTTTTAAGCAGTCACTGAGAAGACACAAGAAATATTCCCGCAGAGCTTCTCAGTTTTGCAAATTAGCACAGTTTTTACATTTTTATCCACCTGAAATGAATGCCCGTGGAGATATGTCACGAAATATCTATGAACATGAAGTGGAACAAATTGTTCACTTCGTTTAACTCAATAAAGTGTTAATCTATGAAAAGTTCATTCCAGGTCCAACGAAAAGAAATCCGCATATCCAAAAACATGATGAACATTGCAAGCAACCCGGTAATGGGGAAGAATTCCGCAGTCAATCACCATTTTACAGACACAAGAAATTCCGTCAACGCAAACCTCAGAGTAAAACAAATTTAGCAGAGTTTTTAGCATTTTTATTTACCTGGAATGAATGCATGTGAAAATATGTTACGAAATACGTGTGACCGTAGAGTGTAGGAAAAATTGAAAGTAAAAGTTTTTGATTTGTCGGGTTTGATTTGGAAGGGTTTGTTCTTAGGCACAGACGAATATTTTGAGAAGGTATTCCTCGTTCGGTTTAGGAGGAAGTTATTAATTTGCAGCGGATAGTAGTATAATATTTATCAAAGAGAATAGAGGATACAATGCATGTTGCAGTCCTTGGCTGAGTGTTTGAAAAGGAAATGATATAGTTATAGCCTTGTGTATATATACAATTTT